TTTGCTAATTTCTCTGCTCTCACCGAAGCAGGAATGTAATTTCTTGAACTACCTTCAGTGAAATTGTGCTCTTTTGTCACATGATTTTTTAAGGAAACAGGCCTTGAAGGGTAATTTGACACACTGGGAAGGCTTTTTTGATACAAATTAGAGATTTTGGATGTGGCACTTAGGGTTTCTTCTTGCAATCTGGCTATATCAATTGCCTCAGCCATAGAGGCAGGTTTAAGAGCTCTAACAAAAGACTTCAAAGATGATTTTAAACCCCCAATAAAGCAGTCTAAGAAATATTTGTCAGATAGCACATGAGATTTCTTAATCAGACTCTTAAGCTCCTCAAATTCGTCAATATATTCATCAATTGAGGATTTCTGTTGACATCTATTAAATCTTTCTACCACATCCTTTTCAGATTCATCTCTAAACCTAGCTGATAAGTCTTCTTCAAATTCTTGCCAATTTACCTCCAATCTATCAGCCAAATAATTGATTACCCAAATCTCTGCCTTACCAGTCATATTCAAAGCCGCTATATCAACTTGCTGTTCTTCAGGTATACGGCATAATGCAAAATATCTCTTACATTTCTTAATCCACATGCTACTATTATGTCCATCGAAATAAGGAATTTCAAGTTTAGGAATATACCCTAATTGTTTCGCATGGTTTCCACCTTTGTCAGAATAAGTGTGCAGGTTCGGTGAATTTGAAATATGAGATGATTCCTTATCAACCTTCTTCTGCAGATCAACCACAACTCCAACAAGTTGTTGAATTTGTTGTTGAATATCTTGCTGGAACTGCATCTGTGATAGAGTAAGAGCCTGTAATTGCTCTTCCATAGCTTGAATGGCAGATTTCGCACGAGAACGAGGCGCCAGACTGAGTCTTATGTGAATCCAAACGGAAAGGGACGATGATGATCGTGAGCTCTGATACCAATGTAACAGGAGCTTGGCTCAACTGTTAAGAAAGAAGGTCGTTACAAGAGCTGAGCTCAATTGTTAACGCAAGAGGCAGTAAAAGCGTAAAATGAGAAATGGCAATCAATTGAACTTTATTGATGATGTACTCCTTTATTTATACATTTAGAGTAGTTAGTATATACAGTTACATCAACCACGATATAACTACTTCTATAACTAACTAGCTATTAGTATCTAACGGTAGATATAACTACCGTTACACGATACGAGCCTATTTGACCTATGGTTTGACTTTTTAGAGATTAACTTTTTTACCCCTGAAATTGCATGGGATATTGAATTAATTAAATAAACTATAGGTGGGGCCGAGGACACCGAGAGACCGGCAGAGCTTCAAGCCGAATAATGTGTTGCTGACGCTGGCGGGCGCCGGACTGCTGTGGATGGGGTGGGCGGGGTTCAACGGCGGCGACCCGTACACCGCGAACATCGACTCCTCGCTGGCGGTGCTGAACACCAACATCTGCGCCGCCACCAGCCTCCTGGTTTGGACTTGGCTCGATGTCATCAAATTCAAAAGGCCGTCTCTCATCGGAGCCGTTCAGGGAATGATCACCGGTCTCGTCTGCATTACTCCTGGTGCAGGTATCAATATTGTTATTTGGACATTTAAGGTGGGGATTCTAAATTAATAAACATTTCAATATGATACCCGATGAATGTTAAAAAGGATTTACATTGACATCAAATGCCGATATTTTAATGAAGGGATTTTTGGAGTAAAAGTGATTAAACAGGAATATTGTAATTTATGGCAAATTGAAACAAGTAATCACTAATTTTAGGCATTTACAAAAGTAATCTGAAAGTTTTCACAATAATAATCTAAAGATTTTAACCGTTTTTTATAAAATAAATCGGTGGAGTTAAGTTTTTCATGTAACTTATTTGTATTATCAATTTAATTTAATACTCATTATTTATCCTAAAGTATTTATCCTAAAATTTTAAACACATACGATAGTACTTACCAAATACCAATCACTCTTTTATCTTGTACGTACTACGGAGTATTTCTTATAAATATTTATGTGTAGACATTTGCAAGAATATGTCCACTCTTTAATTACCATGGCCCGTATGGGGCTTGGCCCAATTTATAGGCTAGCGTTAATGGGCTAGTCGGACCAATATGGATTGGGTATCTTAGGTAGACCCTCAGCTTGCCAAGTTATATACCAGACTTGGTCTGTTCGTGGGCTTTAAGTTGAATGGCCCATCAACATATGTTAATGAGAAAAAGTAAAACACATCATCATTTATGATAGGGAAAATTGTCAAATCAATCCACGTACTATTACGAAAAAGTCAATTGAGTCCATGTACTATTTTTTCAATCAATTAAGTCCACCAAGAGTCAAAAAATGATCAAATTTGCCTTTTCTCCGGTAACTGATCCATTCCCCGGTTAATAGGCCTACGTGATCATCCAAGTGACTTTTTTTTCCATGTAAGCGCTTATTTGGCCATCCTTGTGGCATTAAATTATCTTTTTCCTTTTTTTATTCTTTCTTGTTCTTCTTCAACGAACCGTTCCTGCAACTCTCCTTCAATTTCCTTTTTCTTGTTTCTCTTCTCTTTTCTTTCTTTATTCTCTCCTCTTCTTTCTTCCTTCTTCCCCCTCTAGCTTTCCATTTTTCTACCAGCGTCCACTCTGTCGCTGCCATCTCGGTCGAGCTCCGCCGCCGACGTCGGGTTCTGCCGCCGCCGTCGAGTTATGCCGCCGCCGTCGCTGTCAACTGGTTTCCATTGAGGAAGAGCAGGGATCGCCTTCGGGTTGCCAAATTCGCCTTCTCTAGTCTCTAGCCATGAAAGAAGGGAGGATAGAAGGTTGGGTGAGGTAGAACTGTAAAAGAAGTAGATTGGAGAATTGAAGAAGGGGAAAAGAAAGAAAAGGAATGAAGATGGGGGCTGAACTACTGGGCAAGAATGAAGGGAGGAGATGGTTGGGTAAGGATGTGGGTTAGAAGCAGTAGGGAAGAAGAAGAGTGGATGAGTTGCGGGGAGAAGAAGGGGAAAAAGGAAAAAAAAAAGGAAGGAAGAGAGGGGAGTTGCAGAGCATAGAGTCGGTAGGGACGAACAGGAGAAAAAAAATGAAGAAGAAAGAAATAAAAAAAAAGGAAAAAAAGAAAAAAACAGTACAAAATAGCCAAGTGGAATCCGTATCAGCAAATATAGGGGCTACCGGTCGTTTACCGGTTAAATGGTAAAATTGGTGAAAATTTGACAGTTCATGGATTTAATTGATTGAAAAAATAGTACATGGACTCAATTGACTTTTTCATAATAGTAAATGGACTGATTTGACAGTTTTCCCTTTATGATAATTCACTCAAACGTGTACATCAATCTGTCCATATTACTACATTTATTGTTGTGTTATACTCCGTATTTACTACTATCCTGTCACTTAAAACTTTGTCAAAGTTGACCGGCATGAAGAATAATAAAGTAAAAATTGTGTAATTGAGGTTTGCGCAGAGGAGAGAGAAATAACAGGAACCACAAAATAATTGATTAAAGGGGAAAGTGACAAAATTTTTTGGAACGTCCCAAAAAGGAAAGATGACAAAGTTTTAAGGGACGGAGGGAGTACTACGTAATTTACTTTGCCAATATTCTATATATAAAATGGCAAAATAATTACATTACCCTTGTGCCACCGCATCCACTGCCTCCCTCCCTCCAACAAGCATAAGGATGGCAATGGGGGCGGGGGCCCGTGGGGAACCGCCCCATGGGGTGAGGATGGGGTGGGGTTTGGGGCGGGGTGGGGACGGGGATGGGTGGGATATTTATACCCCGTTAAAATATGGGACGGGGGCGGGGATTGCTACACCCGCCCCGCCCCCGCCCCATACCCGTTATATATATAAACTCAAACATACATATATATACAAACATACATACACATATAAATAATGTATAACCTTATTTAAGTAAATTATAGAGTATGTAGTACGTGGTATATAACAAACACATGCATATACATATAGACATATATAAATGTATATGTGTGTAACTGTGTATTCATGACTAATGAATTAATAAATATTATATCATCATAATAATATGTAATAAATAAAAATACTTATCATAAATGTTATATGAGTGTTAAAAGTGAGAAAATGAGTAAATAGAACACATATGCATATTTAAGTGTAATATACTCTCTATATAACTAATTGTATTCTAATTGATGAGAAATTTGTAACGACATACATGATGATAATATATTTACTTATATTTTTACTTTTCTTATTCAAATTAAAGAATTATTAAAAATTGAAGGAATTAACTTTTATCAAACATGATGTCACGATATTATCTAGCTTACTTCTTTTAGTGCTATATATATTTATATTTGTCATTAAAATGGGTTAAAAAATATGCAAATAAGATACTCCCTCCATCCCATTTAAAGGTTTCCGCTCACATTCTCCGGTCAACGTGCATTGTTCTTAATCTTTACTTTATATATATAACTTTTATCAAATTTAATTTTTTTATCAGGTACTATAGAACTTTTAATGTAGTTTCTGAATATGTGAAAAATAATTCTACTAATAACAGGGATCAATGAAATTTATGGGAAACACCGTAAACCGCGTGGGAACCTTTAAAATAGGACGAAGGGAGTAAATAAAATCTATATGGGGGCACCCGTGGGCACCCGTGGGGGACACCGGGGTGGGGCGGGGATGGGGCGGGTCTGGGAGTAGCGGGGGATGGGGTGGGGATGGGGGAAACTTTTTAGACATGGGGCGGGGATGGGGGAGCCAACCCCCGCCCCAAACCCGCCCCGTTGCCATCCCTAAACAAGCATTGCTCGGCCCGCTGCAGCCGAAAAATATCTGGCCGTCATAAAGTTGATGGAAAAAAGCGCTGTATTTTATTCTTGTGTTTTTCAATTTCTTTTTTAAAATTTGTTTGAAAAGTCATTAGAAATATATGTCATTGTGACATGCTCCACAACGGCAATGACTCGAGTGATGGTTATATTGACATTGGCGCGTTGGTAGTGGTTCAACGACCAATCAATTGTCCGAAAATATCTATGTTATCACATCTTCAAGACGAAACTAATTGTACATCAAAAAGACGAAACTAATTGTACATTAAAATTGATTTGAAGTTCAAGAAAAAAACACAACTTAATTTGTAGTGAGTATTTTTCTTTTTAAAAAGCTAAAGATTTTAAATACCTCAAAATAGCTCTAGTATTACTTGTGGAATATTACATAAACTCCCTTTAGAGATTATGGTTCAAAGTATAAATTGAGTGTATGTTGTTGAAATGAAATAGGTCTTGTTCAAGGATGGGCAGCCATAATAATGGGAATCCTCTCCGGAAGCGTACCCTGGTTCACAATGATGATCCTCCACAAGAACAGCACCTTACTCCAAAGAATCGACGACACTTTAGGCGTCTTCCACACCCACGCCGTCGCCGGCCTGCTCGGCGGCTTTCTCACCGGCCTTTTCGCCGAGCCCACTCTTTGCAACCTTTTCCTCCCCGTCACCAACTCCCGAGGCGCCATATACGGCGGCTCGGGATGGATGCAGCTGGTGAAGCAGCTCGCCGGCGGCGGTTGTGTCATCGGGTGGAACATCGTGGCGACGTCGATCATATGCGTCTTGATTCGCCTCGTCATCCCACTGAGGATGTCAGACGAGCAGCTGGAGATCGGGGACGACGCCGTTCACAAGGAGGAGGCGTACGCCCTGTGGGGCGACGGAGAGTACGACGCCAATCAGAACGGATCCTCGCCGGACGAAATAGCTTTGCAACAGGGACACTTTCATCCCCGGTCGCCGATTGGGGCAACTCAAAACGTCTGAAACTCAATATATTGATTCTAGCGGTAGGATGATTTTGGTATTCAATTCAATTCCGCTTACAAATTCTTGAATTGTGAATTAAAACTATTGAATTGTGTTATTGATAGAGTAATATTTTTGATAATTCGTTTATGATTCATTAAAGTGATGTGTACGTATGCACAAATGTTTAGTGAAGGTAGTGTATTTGGAGTGATTTTTTATACACAACAATTTCTTTCTTTATTTTACACAAAAATAGTATACATTACGCACACTTTCGTACATAATTGTTTGTGCATACAGACAATGCTACACAAGCTGTCTGTGTACAAAGGTAACAGGGGATGTACACATTACCTGTGTGCACAAACATTTATGTATAATATGTGTGGAATGTGTGAAAATTTCGTGTACAATTATTTTTTTCTTTTACACAAGAGTCCAAAAGAGTGAGATAAAAATGAATTTTGGTCGTCTCTAAATCATTCGCCTTGGAATCGTTTAATCTAGTTGGGGCTCCCTTAAAAGCATCAGGTGCCGAGATTGTCAATTTATCAGCACAATTGTTTCCTTTTCATATGTGTGGTTGAGATGAATGCCTCTTCCAAGAGGTTCTTCCAACCTCTGATAAGTGCTACGGTTTTATCCCTGTTTGTCCCATACATATTTTTCACTCTCCATGGAATCGCCCACCTGCCAACTCGCCCAAAGCAGGCGCTCCGGTTGCTCCCACAATATGATCTCAGATAGTTTAAGAGAGTGAGTTCACAATGTGGTGCGCACAATGATTGACTACATTGAGGGAAACTTCCGCACTGTCGTTGTCGGAAATTGAATTTGAAACCTCAACTGAACTGCCAATTTAGCCGTTTTTGACTTGCCTATGCAATACTTTTCACTCATTTACACACCCTTGAGTGACATGAGATTATATTTTGAGTGATATGTTAACTCAAGATAGATGTGCTGACTGGATTTAAAAGTTGACAAGTACGGAATTTTAGACCTAGCTTGAAAAATTAAAAATGAATAAATTCCAATTTACTGATATGAGTTGAGTATCACACCTATTTTATAAATGGTCAAATTTTATTTTTATTTTGACCATTTATGATACATGACCACACGATTCAAAAACTTAAATATGGATGCCATCAATATGAAAATAGTATATAGACTCGATCAATAAAATACACTCAGTATATTATTATAGTTTAGTAAAACATTAATTATATTGCTGGAGTGACGACAGAAAGACCAAAAATATTCAAGAAATTAATATTAGAAAAGTACCAAAAGTGAATATAGTGAAAGATATCGACTAAATATGAAATAAGCAAAAACTCATAGGAACAAAAGTGAAACTAATTCATCAAAAATAACCAAGAAGTTGAGTTCCTTAGCATTTATCTTAATTTAGAGGAATTTTTGAGAATATATATATATATATATATATATATATATATATATATATATATTTTATAAACTAAACAATATTCAAGATTGTTAAAAAAATTAAAAAAACTCAACGGCGTAATGTTTTCAAAAAAACTCAGTAATTTAGGAATTGAATTAAGAAAACTGATTTTCAAATCTTAGATTAATAGTGACATTTCTTGATTATTATGGTTGACTAGTTTTCAAGCTCGTGCAGTATGTAATTTAGCTAATTTTAAATGTGATTTTTCATAAATTGGTTGTGGAAGAAATTTATATTAATTAATAAATGAAGTTTTTCATTGACACTATTTCAATAGTTGTACATCCATTAGGATCATTATCATTAACAACCATGCCAACCACATCTGCAAGAACAATATTTAGTGGCATAATTTGATTATGGAGATATAGTACCGATATAATATTTAGTATTAATGTTTTGTCATACCAGTCAAAAGATATTGACTCCCGAGACGGCTCTTTAAAATGTTGAAAGATACGAAGTCAAATTTATAATTCGGCACTTCAATTGCTTCTGCTTTGACTTCTTTGATGATAGTGATATGAAAGAATTGTATCATGATTTTATTATCGGCGACAACACGATACTTTTCTTTATTTGGAACCACCGAGAATTTTTTTATGATTTGTAACATTCCTTCCTTTATTTTGGGACGTAACACATAATGTATGAACATATCCACTTTTATAGATGCATGAACATAATCACCCTGCAATTATGAAAAATATCATTAGACTTTTGTGTAAAATAAATGCATTGAAAATTCAAAATTAAAAAAAAAAAAAACCTCTTCATCGATCAGAACCATGTCTAGACAAATTAAGCTTCCTTGCTTTTTGTGATTGATGATATCACAGTGGCGTGTAACATGAACTTTGATTGTCCAGTCGGACTTGGATGTATCATGTTGTCGCATTAGAGAATAATTTCTGCATTTTATGTAATTTTAATCAATCAGGTATAATGCATATTATCATGTGTCATAAACATATTATTGGTAAAGTATCATAATACCATATTTTTTAATAATATATAATTAAAACAATGTATGAACTTACTGTGATGACATTCTTGATATATGATCTCTAAACAATAGGACTCTTCAAACGAAGGAGAAACTCAATTAGAAATAAAAGAATAGTGAAACTGTGAAAGCATACTTTAGTTTACATTTTCTTCCTTTTTATAATATTAAGTGTTCAACTCTCTGCAATTTTTATGTTTCTAAATTCCGAATATAGAAACATAAAATATGACCTACGAATAGTAACATAAAATATGTGATATTAAATATCGAAGATCCATTAATTAAACTTAGATTCCCTTACGTAATATAATATTGAATTCCATTAATTAAACTTTGATGTTTTTCCCATTAATTAAACTTTGATGTTTTTTTTGAAAGGACGTAGATTTGATGTTTCTAAATCCAATTGAGGTTGCCGTGATTTTGAGGTTGCCAAATTTACCAAATAAGGTGGATTTCTATATCAACATGTAATAAAAATAGAATGTAATAATAAAATAAAAGGTACAAAGTTCCTCTTTTATACATATATATATATATATATATATATATTGATTTAGAAGTTCTTAAAAATTCTAGCCCAAAATTCTAAGCTAAGGATGTCTTGACTAGGGATCATAATTTAACTTGGAGAATATTATCCGAAATAGAAGCAAAAAAGTTTGAAAATTCCAAAATAGGTATGCCATGTTTTTATTCCCAAAATAGGACTAATTACTGCCATGTTTTGGCAATACTAGACTTCAAACATGGCGGTATTTTCCAAACTTGGCAGCAATTACTCCTATTTTAGGAATAAAAACATGTCAGCGATATTTTGAAATTTTCAAACTTTTTAGTCCTACTTCGGGAACTTTCCCTTTAACTTATGGAGGGGCATGTCGGTCCCATTTGTTAAAAAGCTCAGCCCGGTCCATAAGGTCACTGTTAAGCCCAGTTCAATATTTGAAGGTGTGGGTGCATATGGGACAAGGTATCTGTTGAGGTTTATTCCTTCAACCCTTGGACCCAACACGTAAGCCCAAAGATTTCGAGTGGAGTGAGTGTGTGGATATCTAGCCCAACAACTATCAGATGGATCAGGAAAACAAAAGTAATAGCAGGCAATGTAAATAGGTATTATTAACTCCGTAATAACTCCCCTAAGTACAATCTACTTGCTAAAAAGGCACGTCGGCCGTTCGTCTTACAAGGCACTTAGAAATGCTGCAAGTAAGAATGGTGAAGCTAGTATGCTAAGAATAGAAAGTTGCCAACCCTTTACAATGAAATAAATGCTTCTATTTATACCCGCCAATGGGCAGGTAGCTGTACTGACGTGGCAGCCTGTGGACCGCTGGTGTCCCAACTACCAAATCTTTAGCATTAAATGCACTTCCCGCCAGAATCTAGGTTTCCCGCCGGATCAGTGGGGACGTTCGTCCACCCGGGAAGTGAGTTGGATTGCTCCAAGTGACCCTTGAGGGATATTGGCCGTTCGTCTCCTGGCCTTGATAGATACTCACCATGTGCACTGGGTTTTCTCCGATGACTACATGCTTGCTCTGGGGACGTTCGTCGCCATCCCTGGTGGCCCGTGGCTCTGCTCCTTATCCCTGCATAGACGTTCGTCGGAATGAGCTGCTGGGCCTGAGTCCTCCAACACCAGACGTTCGTCCATCCTTAAAGAACATGGGCCTGTGGGCTGGCCTAGTTTCTAGCTGGACGCTCGTCTGGCAAAATGGGTTAGTGGGCCGGACCTCGGCTTGGGCCCTTAACCCAACACAAGTCCCCCACTTCTGATGTTCTGAGCATGCGCAGGACATAAGGAAGTATGAGCCTCCCCGAAGTAGACGTCCGTATCTTGGCACTTGTGTTCATTGCATCTTGGTGGAAACGTACGCTCGTGGCCACGGTGCTTGACAGCTGTTGACGGTTCAGGAAACGAGGTGACGGCTGATGTTGCGGCGGCGCATCTTCCCGAGGAAGTGTCATCATTACGTTCCCATCCCACGCACAGCGCGTGGGCCGGAATACGCTCCTTGCCACGTGCCAGCCCCTCGTTGGTTTCTCCATCGGTGTTTCCCCTATAAATGCTGGGTTTACCCCCTGAATTAGGGTTCCCAATTTCTGCTCTCTTGCTCTCGATTTTCCGCAGCTCTTCAAGTTTCCTGAATTCGGCCAACCATACCTTTGTAAGGTAATTCCCCCCCTCTGCTTCTTCCCTTTACTCTGATTTCTAGCCGGAATGACTTCGATGGAGATTTCCTCAAGTTCTGATTCCGGTTCGTCGGGTTCCTCCTCGGGCTCCTCTTCTGAAAATGCTAATGCACGCTCCCTGGGAAAAACTAGTGTTTCCGGAACCTCTGGTTCGGCCACGACGGTGGGGACTATTCGGGCTGATGGCGAGCCGGATGATGTGTCCCAAGATAGCAGGAGCGACGCCAGGGGTGGGGATGCCGATGAGGCAGTGGACGTTATTGATGCGGTCCCCCTGAATGAGCGTCCTGCTGATTATGATTCTGGAGAGGAAGCCGAATCCGGTTCTGATATGGAGGTGTATGATCTGGGCATCCCCACGGATATGGAGCGTCACATCTGCCCGATTAGGAGCGCCCTTGACCACGACCAAGTCCTCTCCCGTGTGGCCCTCAATAAAATCCGCACCTTCCTTCCTCCGCCGTTCGTCTGGAGCGTGAAAGGCGCTGAGCATGTGATGAGGAGACGTCCGGGGATGATCAT